CTTGTTTAATATATTTTTTATCTATTTTTAATGTTACTTTTTCCTGCATAACACAAGTTGGAGTGATCTTAGATAAGTTTCATTCCTTTGCGGATTAAGAGAAATAATAGGACAACTAAATATAATTATTTTAAATAAAGATCTTTCCTAAATAATTCATTCTCTAAATATCACTAACATCCATGAAAAAAGAATAAGTCATTCGAGAATGATTCAATCGAGATCAGGAGATCATCCTTTGGGCACTCTACTCCCATCTATAATGTGGGTACTTGATCCATCAACGAGTTTCTGGAAAAACTGACAGCTGAATGTGATCATGACCAGACAACTTCCTTGTTAAAAGGTTAATCAAGAAAATTACTTCCTCATTAAATATTCTTATGGTTCATAATAAGCACATATACAGGTGTCCTGTAACTAGAGTCATGTAAGTATAAATATATAAATATTTATAGGATGATAGAAAACATCAAGATCAAAAAAAAAAAATTCATATAAACCATTAGCCCATTTCCAGCAGAAAAGTGGGAAATTCAAGAATTTTATATTTTTAAGTGATCCACATTTTATATTAAATAGAAAGCAATAAACAAAAATATTTAACTTTATTTATTAACAATTGTTTTATTGTAAACTAGAAAAAAAGTAGTCTCAACGAAAATAGAGTCTGTCGTTGTTAAAATCATTTGAAGAGGACTCCTGAGGAACTAAACTAAGTTAAGTTCTGTATTTAAAAAAAAAAACATAAATTATTCGAGATTTTTTTTTTTTTATCGTCAACCAACTACACTATAGATACCCCAATTTTTAAAAATTCTTCTTCGTTAAATAAGCTTGAAGTCCGTATTAATTAAGTTGAGGTTTATTATTGAAAGTTTTGAGATCCGCCTCAAGTTGTGTAAAGAAATGATGTGATTTTTAATTCAGTCACCTAAAATAAACTGTGTTTTCAGGTGACAAAAATGACTACAATTAACTGTTGCAAAGGTTTTATTTATTGTTTTTCAGTGATATGGGATGTATTTTAATAAACATAATTGTCTAAATTCACATTTTATTTATAAAAATAAAAATTTAAAAATAATTATTTTTCAAATATTCCGTATGTAAAGTTGTTCTGAAATTGTGTTCTTCTACCAGGTTTCTGGCATAGTATTTTTCAGCAAAAATGACTACAATCAAATGTTGCAAAGGTTTTATTTATTGTGGTTCCGTGATATGGGATGCATTTCCTTAAACATAATTAGCTAAAAACACTTTTTAGTTATAAAAATAATTATTTTTCAAATACTCTTAATGTAAAGTTGTTCACAAATTGTATTTTTCTAACAGATTTCTGTCATAGTATTCATTAGTGACAAACTTAATGTTTCTAGCTTTAATATTTACATTATCAAAAAAATAATTGAAGCATTCGGTTTCTTAATTTTAAAAATAACGTTTATTAAGAAACATCAAGTTTGTCACAAATAAATACATATCAATTTCTATGACGGATATCTGGGAGAAAAACACTGTTTCATAACCACTTTAGGTGAATAATATATGAAAAATCATTATTTTTATGAATTAAATGTGTTTTTATCACAATTATATTTATTACAATACATCTCATATATTATTCTAAGTAGCTTAATATATGTGCTAGTGGACGGTGCTGAGACTGTCGGTGTGTCCCTGGCCTGATCGAAGCTCTATTTTTTAAAATTCTAGCTTTGAAGAGGATCCCATGGTTGACTAATAAAAAGAAAATACCGGGATCGAAACGTCAATAAACAGAAGAAATGAACATTCAATAGTTTATTAAATAATAATTAAATGACCTTATTCCCAATAAATAGTTAAGTTTAAATTTAATACTTAAAGGTCGATTAAGGAAAAGTTGTAAATATATATATATATATATATATATATATATATATATATATATATATATATATATAATTTATTTATTTTTCACGATACAGGCCAACGATGGCCCACGCGTATATCATTTCCTTAATTTTTTCTATTATATCCCTCTTTCTTTCTTTCCTCTGTCCATTTCTTACTTTCTTGATTCTTATTCTCCGCTACAAGAACCTTTATTTTTTTCACTGTTTTCCCGAATTTATCCCTATCCTGGTAGTTCTTCTCTTCGATACCCATTTTTTTCACTTCTTCTTTTATTTGTTCCGGATAACCTTTTATGTTCTTCAGTCCCATCGCCCTATCGAATATTTGTTTGTTTAACCTATTCCGATCCATTCTCTTCATTTGCCCGAAGAACTCTAATCTCTTTATCATCAATGATTCCAACTTTTAATATGTCCATAAAGCTCATCGTTCTTTTTTAATCGGTATCCTTCTCCCACATTTCTCCGCCCGTATATTATTCTCAGAATCTTTCTGTCCGTTCTTAGTAACGATCCAATGTTGGTGAAGAGAGTATCACCGGTTTTATGACTGTTTTATAATGTCTAATTTTGGCTTTCCTGGAAAGTTTATTTTTATTATACCAACTCCTGATTAAGAACCTTTATCCAATTTTACTTCTCTAATCTATGTTTCTTACATGTTTCCCCCATTGTAGTTTACGAGTTCCCCAAGATATTCAAACTGTTCAACCGACTTGATTTTTCTGTATTTAGTCTCGATGTTTTGTTTTTTTTTCCTTATCGTTAGTTATTATTTCGGTTTTTTCAAATGAATATAGATATTGTTACTTTCACCTTTTAAATTTTTACTCTTGGAATAACATAATTAAAACGTAAACTATACATAGTAAACATATAATATGCGGTTTCGCAAGGAATATGTGCACTTTGCAAATAAATTTATCATACATAGTGATAATAAGCAAAAGAGAGTAAAAAATGTATATATACATGGTAGTGGTTTCCAGTTTTAACAATTAAAAAAAACATCTGGTGTGTGGGAAAATCTTTATAGATCTTAGAAATATCTGGACTCTTTTTTGACTTATCAAGTTGTTACCTCTGATGATAGATTTATATCTGTTTAATCAAACTTAAATCGATGGATATTGGCCTGTGAAATAACGGAGGTTTATTTCAAATAATTTCATAAAATATGCGAATAATCTGCAACACAACATTATCATTACAACTTGATAGTAATTGATGGTCAGTAGTTGATTTCGTAAAAAAAAAAAGTATATTTCTCAGAAAATTTCTACTTCTGCGATTATTTATCTTTCGGATTGTTAACAATTCAAATTGCCCTAGAGGGAAAATTAAGTAATAATAAAATAAAACTTATATTGCGATGATTTTAATTCCAAACCTAATTTTTTCTGTCGGTTAAAATCTTAGCTTAAATTTCGACGGGCGGATGATAACACATCAAATAAAAGATAAACCCTACCAATAAAATGTCTAATTGGTACGATTAATAGCAATCCGAATTGAAATATCCGTCGTCATAAAACTCACAGAATATGTATTTCAAGATCCTCTTAAAATATAATTTTTAAACTCAGAGGAAACGTAAGATAGAATTAGTATTTAAGAATCAATTTTTAAAAATTACGTGGCAATGAAATTATAACGTTTCAATGAAATCAAAGCATACATTATAATGCACACATTATTATTTACATTTTATGAGTTATCATCACGCAATAAGATGTTGCTGAATTCAAATGAAAGTAACAGTACTTATGGATTCATACAGAATAATTTAAAAAATTGCTACTTCTGCTATAAAATAACTCAATACACATTTCGTACACTTAGCACAAAATATTGTTATTTATTTGTTTTTAAATATAATAGATTCTATAATTAAAATACCTGAGAATAGTAACCCTTTGTTATTTTATTATACATCAAAAAATCAATGTCTACTATGATCGGTCAGATGAAACGCTCTATTGGCTGGAGCTCACAACACCGATTTATAGACTCTAGAGAATTAGAAAATGCCGGGACATTCCGCAGATATCAAGTGAAAAAGACCATCTTTATGGCAAATACGTCTGATTCGGTTGAATTTATTAAAAAATTACATCTTCATATTTTAATTTTTTAAAGTGCTTTTAATTAAGAGTGCTACCAATGGGTAGTTTCTCAACATGTGTTTCATGTCATTATATCCATGTGCGAATTTACTAGATGTATTTTTTTTTATACAGTTGTAAATATCATATAAATAAAAAAAAAAAATTACAACGCGGTTAACATTATCATGACAGCGTTTACGTTACTTTATATATCTATAAAATAAAAGATAATGATTTGTTGCAGCCACTTGTAAAAACGAGTACTTTTAAGTGACAGAATATCGAAACACCTCAATTTTTTTTAGACAACTTGAGACGATTCCCAATTTTTTCGTAATAAATCATCCAACTTAAATAAATATGGACGATGATAAAATCGCAAATAATTTATATTTTTTAAAACAGAACTTAACTTAGTTCAGCCAAACAAGAGTCCTCTTTAAACGTTTTTAACAATGACAAACTCAACTTTCATTTAAAGTAAATGTTGTCTAGTTTGCTGTGATGGAATTGGTAGTTACATAAATTAAATATTTGTTTCAGTTATCGCTTCCTACTCAACAAAAAACGCGAAACAGCGAAAAACTCGAAAACTCAAATTTCGTAACTTTCTGAGGAAAATCTAGGTCTTCTATAGCAGGTCTAAAAATTTCCCTATACTTACTGGACACTATGTATATTTCTCACCACAGCGACTTTTCAATTCATATATCAAGATTTATATTATTAATTTTTTTTTTCTGTTGACATTGCAGACCTAATGTAGAACTTTTGCCGTCTTAACAAGACTCTATCAGTGCCTGTCTTGGGCTATTACTTTCCATTTATCTGTGCACAGCTCTATTGTATCTTCGTTGATTCTATCTATCCATCTATCTATTTTATATAGGAGTGAATGTGTTTTTTCTATTTTAATTTCATTTATTTTCTATCTATTGTTTCATTTTTTTTTTTTTTTTTTGGACTATGTATATTAATTTTCTTATTTAATTTTCTACATTTCTTTTTCTTTATTATTATTCATTGTTATGTTGAGGCTTCCAGATGGATTGCTACGAGCTACATGTCCTGCCCATCTGAACCTCCGTGCCTTCATTTCATGGGATACTGATTGACCATTATGGGATATTATTAACTTATTAAAAAAAAAAAAAAATATATATCATATCATATATTTTCAACAAAAAAAAGTTCTCTATTTATTTTCATTTTATTTTATTTTTTTTTTATTGAACCGATATGGTTGACAAAAGTTAGTAAAGTGATTGTCCAGATATTTTATACACTTACACCAAGATCAAGAAATAGTTGAATAAGAAAGATTTTAATGAATGACTACTGAGAGTTATTTAAAAAAAAATAATTCTTTTGAGTTTATTAGTACTTTTAGGAGCGAAAAAAAAATGGAAACGGAAATGGATTTTTTTTTTTTCATTTTTTAAACAATAAAATATATTTTATATGAAGGAATAGATAACTTGAATAACACAGATATTGTTCACTAAAATAATTACAATTATAATTAATTAAAAATATTTGTTGACCTATTAAAATAAATTATTCATAGTTTTTAATAACTAAATATTAAATTTTAATTAATTTAGAAACTCATTGAATCCGAAAATCGTCTTTTCATTCGATTGATGTGGAATATTCCACAGGCCATCTTAATTATAGGTCAATGATGTGTAGATTTCAAATCAGGGGCTTCGTGTAGATTACCGTACAAGGAAAATATTTATCTGATTACAATATTTATCTGTAATAATACAAAATGTATTGTATAAATTCATTCTCAAGGCTTAGCAACATATTTTGAATTTTAAATAATGTCATTAACAACATAAAGTTCTTTAATAAGAACATGTTTTTATAATACTACAAATTAAAAAAATATATATTTCTAAGAGGAAATCTATCTTTTTATGTCTTGGATTTTTTTTTTTTTTTTTGGTTTATTCATGATTTAGAAGAATCCTTTGCAAAATTCCTCGCAACATAACCGATACAAAAACACGTACGAAAAAACGACATAAAACAGATTTTTTCTCCATTTTTTTTTTTAATTCGTACTATCGTAGACATAAAAGATAAATAGTTATTTTTATAGAATTTAAATACTATTTCTAACCGGTTATGTTGATATAATTGCGCTATTATGAAGACCTAACGAATTATTGAAGGATGTTCTACATATCATACGTGATAAATAGTGAGGACGCAGTCATTTTTAAGGTTTTTGTTAGTGTCGGCGCTTCACCCCTAACATGTGGGCCATCATCACTTACCTACCAAAGTGTCAGTACTTGAGTATCTTCAGTGCTCGAAACACTTCATGATGATGACCCACATGTTTGGGTTAAAACGTCGGCACTAATAAAAACCTTTAAAATGACTGCGTCCTGACTGTCATCACCCAAGAAGACCTAACATTCATAATATATATATATATATATATATATATATATATATATATATATATATAATCAGTAAAATTATGACTAATTCTAAAACTAATTTTTAAATTATTTAAACATTTGGAAATACAGATCAGATAAATATGAAGAACAGATAATTGCATTACCTAATTTCAAATATTTTTGCAATGTAACCTTAATTGTAAGACATTCAAATAAGTTAATTTTACAATGATTATTGGGGCTTTATAATTAATTTTACATAAAAATAATATGAAATGGTATAAATATTGTTACGAACAACGACCAATCTTTTTTTACTCATTTTCTACATTTACATTATTTCATTCATCGTTTTTTTTTTCTTTAAAAGTTTGTCTATTATTACAATACGGATATATATGAGCACACGCACACATATGTATATATAAAACATATTTAAATGTATATTATATACATACTTTGACACCCATTTGTATATTAATCCATCATTTAAACAGTATTAAAACATACACGTATAGAATTAAAAAAAAAAATCTATTATTTTGTTTAATCTTTATAAAATCACTATTAAGTAATTAATACATAAACTTATATGTTTAATGGATGTTTATTATAAAGTTATAAAAATGTAGTTATCAGGAGAGAAAACTAGGCCCCGCAACGTCTAATTATATTGCAATATGATTTTTAAAAATAAAATAAAATCATTCCAAAGAAGTTTGAGTTTACTGTCACTTTTTTGATATATTAATAAACAATTACATAACCAAGTTATTAATTTTTATATAAACACTTCTTCATTTTAAGGAGAGAAAAACATGTATAATTATGTTATGTTTTATTTTGTATACAATTACTTGTATCTTGAATTGTACGAGAAATCTCAATTCGGTAATACTTAAAATCTTTTCTCTCTATCATGATGAATATGGTTACGAAATTTTCGTATACGAAAAAGGTTACTAAGTTTTCCATTAAGTAAATAGTTTTTTCCCCATATTTTCTTTGAGGTTCCTGCTATTTGAGGTTTAACACACTTTATACAATATGTGTGTTTTTATGATGAGAAAAATTATATTTATACTTAAACATTTATGATATTTATACAGGTTAGGTATTTGATAAATATTTATATTATCAATTAGATGATATAAACATTTTTTTTTCAGCCTTAAGAAGAGTAATACTGTTGTAATACTGAGTTAATAAAATACAAGGTTTATCAACTTTACCCAAATTGTCATGATAATTACCATTGGAACTGAGAATACAGAAAGTGAAATTTACCAACAGTGAATTTTAGAATAGTGGGTGATCATATTGCTCATATTTAAATAATTGTATGCATAATATAAAACATGAAAACTAGAAAGAAATAAACATGTACATAGAGTAATAAGGATATGGGAACTAGGTGTTGGATATATTTTGGCAAGCGATATATATATATATATATATGTATGTAATAATTTTTGAACAATATTTGATACTCCTTGGAAAAAAGTAATTTCAGACATTTTAAAACATCATGGTGAATTGTTTTCGTAATCAATAATTATTTTCAAAAAAATTAACCTAACGGCTTCGATAAATAAAAAAAATACATTTTTACTTTTGCAGGTCTTTTGGGGTCTTATGGGGTTACTTATTATACGAATATAGAACTATAAGTGTATATGTATATGAAATGAAGCGAGCTTCATTTACTTACAAATTATTGTTCAAATAAGAATAAAACTGTATTTTTATAATCTTTTATAATAAAAATAACACCATTAAAATTTTTTAATATTAATTTATTTTGTTAACTTATTGATAAATTTTGAATTAAAATTAATCACTCAGTCTGTTTGTGTTTGTGTGTTTGTCTGATTTAAAATATCATTCATTAAATTGAGAACATTTTTTCCTATTTAATTTATTTGTAAAAGCAATGCAATTTTTCATGTATTTTTTTTTTTTTTAGAATTCAAATGCAACATTATAACTTAAAAATTATTGAAAAGTCTTGGTAGATTTTAAAGCATGATGCTTTTAAGTAAGTCATTTATTAAAAATATTAAACAAATCCAATACTTAAAATTTTAACTTCAATACGTTAACATAATAATTATATTATCGTAGTTTGATAACAATTTTTTTTGTTTGATCTTTTACGGGTATAAAATCGGGTGAAAAGAAAAATGCAATTCTAATATTTATTTATAATATTCGAATATTTATACGAACAGCAAAATATTACATTTTTGTTTAAAAAATTCAGTTTTACAAGGCAATTGGATGTTAACAGTCCACCTCTTGTAAGGAGAATCCATTTTATTAGCATAAATGACAGTAAAGGCGATAAGATGTGCATTTATCACTTATTATGGAGATAAGAGTTACCTTCGAGGGCCGACACGCGTGCGTTGCAGTCGACAATTGCATGCTCATCATTGTATCATTTCAGGGCAAATGCAGACATTGTTCAACGCTGGGCATTGTATTCCAACAGGCAACGTATATTTGGAGTCTTACAATGAAAAATATGTCGGTATATGTACAGTATATTATGCAGTTTATAACGATATAAAAAAGGAGAAGGAAAAACTCTTATCACAAAAATATCTAATCATTCAAATCGATATGAAGGAACACTTTCAAAGGGTAATACATTAGTCTCGGGTTATTCGGGAATTATTATAATATTAATGAAAAGTCATTAATGATAAAAAAAAATCTAAATAGAGGAAGGAAAATCATCAAGAGCCAAGCGAAGGGCTCTTTCATCCTGGACCTACCGCGACGAACCTGGTTTGCCCCAGTCTTCGGCTATTGGACTGGAGATCCACTCACCGCTAAAGTTGGTAAATTCAAAGCGTTTTTTTTTTTTTTTATAATTTTAAATCAAGCGATTATTTCAACAATTATCAAATTGTATTTAAATGGTAATTTAAAATCAAATCAGAGTAATAGTACCGAACATTTTATCATAATATAAAACACGAAGAGATAAAGAAACGGATCATTCACAAAGTCTTAAAAAAAAAATAAAAATAATAAACGAATTTTTGGGGATAAGAAATGGCAAGCAGAATATAAAAAAAATATATAAATTAACAAACCTTTAGCGGCTTTTTCCATGTTGAGGAGCTTGATCCTCCGGAGCTGGACTTGTATCCTGGTCTTGGCCCTCTTCTTCTCCGTCCCTTGGCACTTATCGCAAGAGCAGTGCCTTCTTGCACACTCCCTCTTGTGGCCCTTCATCTCCTCCTTCCGCCCGTGGTTCTTGCATTTGGCGCAGTACTTGACCTTGATGGCCTCCTCGTCCTTCCGCAGGTGCTCGTTCATCCTCCCGATCGACATACACCGCCAAGTGCAAGTGCAAGCGACCTATAGAAAAGCGCATCCATGCACCGTGGAGGGGGTGGTTGAGTGGCGCCCCAGGCGGCCGGCCGCCGCACTAGACAGTTGCCGCTTTACGATTCCTCGTAAACTGGCCAGCCCTGGGACAATCTTGGCTTATCGTTCACCTCTGCCCTCTCCCTCCCAGCCTCCTTCAAGACCTCATTTACCAATATTATTATATTTATTATTATTTAAATTATATTTGTTGTCAAATAGTTGCTTGTAAATGCGTCGTTTATTACCTAATCAATATTAAAAATTTTTCTTGAAACGCGAAAACCGATGTTTTACTAAAATACTATGAACTGTGTGTATTATTCACCAAATCTTAGTTTCCATAACCATGGTAATGTTTCGCATTTTCAAGCCATCTACAAAGACTTATTAAACATTAATATTTTAAAACATTTAATTTAATAGTACTAGCGGTTCCAGGATTTAATTTTGAGGGGGCTCCAGCCCGAAAGATTTTTTTTTTTCATATACATATAACGATGATTAATTTGTAAAAAAAAGAAAGACATTAACTACCTATATGAAGTATCGTTTAAATGGTTCTTGAAGTCTTATTAAATATAATTACATGAACAAGAATACTTTAAGAGATAGTTTTTAATATTTTTTTTCTTTAAAACGTGGTTATATTTTACTATTTTAGGGGGAGGAGGGTTCAGCCCGAAAACCCTCCCCCCCCCCGTAAATCCGCCTGTGTTTAATAGTGATGTTGTAAGATAACAATACATAACTTACCAGCTATACACTTAAACATAAGTAATAATAAAATTATGTGGTAGCTTCATATAAATAAAAATGGTTAGTATAACTGATTGGAATAAGTAAATTAATAGTTAGCCCCTGCGAATAATTCGTACAGTATATTGCTATACAGTACGTTGTACACAGTATACAGTATACAGTATATTGCTCGCTCAGTTAATTTCTGGAATTCCCTCCCTATCAAAAATCGGCATTATCCCTCCCTATCTACATTTAAAACTCCTATTCTAATTCCTGTCCCAAAAACAGTCAGATACCCGCTAACCTTTTATGTCAAATTACATATTATTCATAATAATGTAGATAGATAGAAAGATACAAATTTAATTTGTACAAATTTTATTCCAATACAAATAGAGCCTAGCTTGGCTATGTAGAATAATATTACAAGTTACTTACATATCATTTAAATATAGATACAATTTACAATATTTTACGTTTAGGATGGGTTTTACAAAACATGAATAACAATAAAAATTAAATACGAAAAACGATTACTGCATAATAATAGTTATATGAACCCGTTACTATAGTAGAAACCATAAAAAAATAAAAAATATTTATATATATATATATATATATATATATATATATATATAAACAAATATTACTTTTAAGATAAACTAAAAACAAATACTTAATAGAACATGGGCTATGATCAACAATTTCGTGTATGCACTTAGTGTACTCCCATTATATAATAGTAAACTTTATGTATCTTATCTCTACAATCGATATTCAATACGGTTTCGATGTTGTGGTTGTCAGAACATATTGAAATAAAGTTATGGAGGAATTTTTGTCTATTTTGGTCTAATGATGTATTTACATATAACTCATCACTTAAATACTTACTATCAGATTCGACTTTCTTTTTTTCTTCAGAACCACAGAGTTTATTGCTAAGAAGAATGTAATGTATTTTTTATTTATTTTTTTCTAAAAGTCTATATTTATGTTTCACCACTGTACATAGTTTTAAGGGTCTTGGCATGGTTTCAAGTGTTTTGTATAAAGATTTCTATGTAAAGAGTTCGATGTAAATATACATATGTGATTTTCATAAATGCTACTGTTTGTATTATTTAATATTTTATTGTATAGATTACGGCGATATAAATATTAAAAATTGTATATATAAGGGTACTTGTACAACTAAAATTACCCACAATGAAATATAAATAAATATGGCTTCTATAATTTTTCACTTTCACTTCCCTTTTGTCAGAAAATACTCATTTCTGCTAAGAAGAGGGTGGTACGTGAAAGTTGTGTGATGCGCGCACCGCACCAGTTTTTTTTTATTACTTAAAAAAGAAGGTCGGTATTGGAAATAAAATTATTTTCACATCACTGGTTAAAAAACAAAAAAAAAAATTACCGTCGGATTTATTGAGTGTTTTTACACGAGAATCAATACTTATCATAAAATTTTCTTAAAAATCGATTATGGTTTACTTTGGAAATAAGTGACTCAAAAGAAATAAAATAAATCGGATTCTGTAATTCTTAGTATAGTGTTTTTTTCTAATGTCTTCCATCAATGTTACATTTATCATTCCCATCTGAAAACCAGATAATTTACATAAATTCAGAAATAAAAATCTTAGGGAACTTATTCATAATAAAAAATCTGGCGAAGTTGAAAAACATATTTTATTTCACAGTTGGAAGCCTTAAAATTAGATAATTTATTATGAACGATTCAATATCGTAATATTAATGTTTATGTCCATCAAATTAACTCATTCTGCTGTCTTCGACTAAGAAGCTCAAATTATGTATTGTTGCATATTGCAATTAATTTATTGTATATTGTATATCGCCTTATTAATAAATGTAATATTATATAGAAGGCATACCATATTATAATTACAATTTGTATTTCTATTACAGTGTGTTTATTTATTTATTTTTTTTTGATAATTTCAAAATCAATACTTTTCATTTATATTGCTCTACAGTTGTATTATTATTATTATATTTAATTTATATTATATTTATTTTATAAAATAAGCTTATTTCTCCGATTTATCGCTTTATTTGTGTAATTGTTCATTATTATTTTTGCTTCCTCACTACCGAAGGTAGGGAAGCATTGTGTTCGTGCGAGAGATTAAAAAAATTTTTTTGCTCAGAATCGAAAATTTTCACTCGCGTTTTACGTTTCAGACATCAAGGATCAAATTTGGTTCGGTGTCTGTCTGTCTGTCTGTCTGTCTGTAGTCAAATCGATGTGACGGACATATCACCTAGTACCGTTCATCCAATCTTCATGAAATTTTCAGGGATTATGGTGATTGGTGCCTAGATGGTCCCATATCAATTTTATCAAATTCCATCCAGCACTTCCGCTTATACACGCGCAAACGTATATTTTTAGATATGCCAATATTTCAGAAAGGGCTCGTTCGATTTGGCTCAAAGTTAGATAAAAGATAGACTTTGGTGAAAAAATAATGTCGTGTCAATTTCATTGAATTGTGTCCAACACTTTCTCTTATATGTGCACTACTAGTCCGCCGTCCTCCGTCCGCGCATTTTTTCTGAAACTACTGGACCGATTTTTTTCGAATTTGGATATAAAATCAGAGGTCACCCGAGGATCATTCTCCTTCAATGACATTACTATTCGCCTTCTAGTTTCAAAATGGCGGCCGAAAAACCTGCGTTGTTATAGACTGTAGCGCCTAAACGAATGTACCGATTTTGATGAAATTTCGCTAAAGTTATTTTCTCTACGCCCTCTAAATTTATCTATACTACATACTTCAACGAAAAGAAGCTCAAAAAAAGTTACGAGGGATGGTAAAATTATATTCCGAATAACTCAAGAAGTATACATATTTATGTAAATATTGTATGATTTTTTAGAAGTTTACGGAATTTCCTAAAAAACAAAAAAAAGTTTGTCAAAATCGGACAATTAGGAGCAAAGATATGGTCTCTAGTTTTTTTTAGATGTGCTATTGCAAAAGGTTTATCTTTTTTTTTTTATTTCTGAATGTGTTACTGAAGTAATGCTATTTTTTTTTAGCATATTACTAATGATTAAAAAAAATTTTAGTCCTATAATTAGAATCACCTTTTATTTATTTTTCGTTAGAACTAGGAATTTAATGTTACTCTATATGTGTAATTGTTTGGAAATAATATACCAAAGAGAAATAATTTGCAGTGGTTTTTTTCAAATTAATTATCGTTTTATATATATATATATATATATATATAAATCTTTCGTGCTGAAGCCCCTCCTCCAAAATTAAATCTTGATTCGGTAATGTATATACTATTATTAGAGTATAAGTTCGTATGTAATAATTTTCAACTTTAATTCTATGTGTATTAAAGGTGATATTTTGTAGTCTGCAACTGATATAAGTAGTCTGCTACTATGGAAAATAGCAGATGAAAATAAAATATTAAATTATTCTAATAAAGCATGAAGAAATATTGAGTTTTTATGCACTCTTGTAAAACAATAAATAAATTTATACATAAGACCTTTTGAACTAACAGTATTGAAATTCATGTTCAGTATGCACTTTTTTTTTATTTATTTATTTTTTTATTAAGCATAATCAAGTATGGAATATTCAAATACGACCCTCTTTTGTTGAATGTTGAAGGGTAACTGTAATCGGCTATTCCAATTCTGCTTCTCTCAGAGATTTTATTTTCATACGAAAAATTGTATACCTTGTAATATACAACGGAAACGGTGAGGAAGCTATACTGACCTTACTTGGCAGACGTTTTTCTTTATGCAATAATGTTTATGATGGAAGCAGACCTCCTGTAATTGTACATATTACAAATATCTCAAGCGAACGGACACTCCTTCCTATAGGCAATACCTCATTTAGGAATTGAGATCTCTTTGCAACGGGCCAGTTAACTTTTCTTTACCGAGTGATAAATTAACACCTTTGAGCGAACAAAACGTAATATTGATAGAAGAAACCCTTTGTGGTGTTTATGTTTTTATATGCATACATACTTACATTTTTTATTATGATTTTATTAGTCTACCATACTGAAGGACATTGGTACTAGGGCTATAGTATTCATTAACACAATATATACATAAGAAAGGAAAATATATACAAATAACTGAAGTAAAAAAAAAAAAAAAAAAATATAGATAAATAAAAAGATGAAGTAAC